CTTGTAGGTATGTCCAAATATATCAATAATATATGTATGGGGCATACTAGTAAGCACACCCATAGGAACGTAGCTGCCCACATCTGTTGCAAACATCTCATTTTTGAAAAAGAAAATGTTTAAAAAAAATCGCTGAATAACTGAGGCCAGGTCTGTGTGACGATGATCACGGATCTTATCAATATGAAGCACCTGGTTTGCACTTAGCATTACACACGCCCCACTCCAATCATCCCCCGATACCCTTCTGCTAAGTGATTTACAAATAGACTAATAGATCTTTGAGCGTAGTTTTATCGGGCTACTGTTGAAATGATGGGGAAAGGTTGACAAACCCATTATGTAGGGACTACACGGCAACAACAAACTGATTGCACATGAGATGAGTGGTAAGTCATGGATAGTTATGCAAAAATGGATAAGCTGTGGATTTGCATAGATTCTTCGTCATTAATCCTGACTAGTCTGAATCGAATACTTCAACTGTGTAAGCGACGAGTTTAATGGCGTAAATGTCCGTATACATTCAAGGGATTCGTGTTTATTCATTGCAGTCTTCAGGCTTGTTGTATTTATTTCAAAACCTCAGCTGCACGTGAGATCTATAAACGCTTTGATCAAATATTTCCTTTCGAGTGATAAAGTCATTTGGTCGAATTTCTGCCTCATTTCTGGCTCATTATTTCATTTTGACACAGAGGTGTCTGTGCATCAGCACGCATGTATCACTATGTTACGGATTTGACAGCATCTATAGATATGCTTCTTTCAACGAATTAATCGCTCATTTAATGCGATAAGCCTCATTCAGTCTTTCTGCTTCAAACACGGTATTCTACTTCAAATATATATGTGTGTTATGGGTTAAACATTGTTAGTTATATCTTCTTTTTTACAGCACTTTTGTCCTGCCATATTTCGATTAGAAAAATTTTCGTGTTCATCCACACAGGTCGATCATTCGTTTTATCAAAGGGTCTTGTCGGTAGCGTGACCAGTGATCGCTAGTAACAAAAGGATGTCTGTGCAAACTCATCCTCGGTATCGAATTCAGTTTAGAAGGTGAAGGAAAAGCTGAGTTCGATTTGAACAAAAGAACATGCAAAGATCATTGTTTTCTTAAAACAGTTGGGAAATTTTGCACCGAAGGACTCAGTAGGGGACGTCTAACGATCACAGCCCACTGATCCATCGAGCATTCTGCGTGGTTCAATCAGCCCCTCTGTTTGACCTCTGTCAAAACCGAACGCCAAATTTCCCACTAAAATTGTCCACCTTGTCAATTAAAGGAGGACATTTGACCTTGCCTGGTGCGGACCCCGTCTATTTGTGGTTAAACGTGAAGCATTGCCACCTTAGTAGTAGCCCCTGTCTCAACCGCCGTGTAGCGACGAACCGACCAGTCGCCATCTTGCTTTGCCATGTTTTGCACGTATTTTTCATAATTGTGAAATGGGAACGTGTGAAAAAGAATCTAAACGAGAAGAATATAATTTCCCTTCACACTCTTTTTTTTTTTACTTAATTTTATTTTCTGGTTTTGCTGAGATCAGATAATATACTTAAGTATTAAGGTATCCAGGAGCCGCGGTCTCTGTTTTAGGGAAATTCTCAGTAATTTCAAGCTGTTTTTAAGATTATAAGTAGGCCTATACTGTTAAAAACAAGGCGATAAGGTTAGGAATTTTAGGTAAAGCCTTAGGCCTCTTGCTTGGCGTCTATTTTTTTAAAATCAAATCTGCAAACTATGCCTACATGTACCTATCGTTAATTTCTTGGCGCAGTGAAATTTAACTTAAAGCAGTATATCGCAAAATTTTTCTCAGCCTTTGCAAGCAATGTCACATTGATCACCTTTGATTCTGTCATCTCAAAAGACAGTGATCAGTGACCCTTAGCAAAATGCCTTTTAGATAATGATATGAATGACCTGTAAAAAATGTCCATGTGCAAAGTACTAAAGGAAGTTTGATCGCACACCTGTTACTGTAAAATGTCACTTGAAAAAGTCTTCAGGTGTGACATTCAATACAAGTGTAAGTGTTCTAGGGATGACTAGCTGCAATTGGGATCAACCAGTTAGTTTATTCTTGTTAGCAATGTTGAAGACGCCCCTAGCATTTTCTCTAGACCTCCCAGAATAACATAGAAAATAGCAAACTGACATGCAGGTGGCAGTTTTGTTTCCGCAGGATAGAACGCCAAAATAATATGTGAATATGTGCAAATTGCTGAGGCTTTGACCTTTACTTGCGTGCGAGTTTATTTCTGAAAGTAGTAATAGTCAAATTATAAAAAGGAGAGAGTCAGGCAAAAATGAAACTGATTTTTCTTCTATAGGGTAGTAAATTGTTTGATTTGATGAGAGAGAGAGAGAGTTTCTTTACTTCACTTTCACATAACATTGATTTTCCGGTATATTTGATATGATATTCTTTGTTTAATCTAAAGGCAACAACAAGTCTCTGCACACCGGCCCATTAGCCGAAGTATCTAAACAGCACGGCATTGAAATAAACGGTACCGGGTTATGTTTTAGTTCACGTATGAGCTCTGAATAAATATTTGGTCTGTCTGAAAAATCAGTTTAGCGGGAACCCACCCTTTGACCTGCTGGATTTGAACATAGTTGTGGTATCAAGCGTTGTATATGTACCGTCTTTTGTGGCTTGACGCAACATTTTTGCCTGGAGTTTTGAAAGAAAACGGATGTTGATGTAATTGAATGCATGACTTTTCTGTCATCAAGCATCACTCATTTTAACATTTGTCATGTCAGTTTTGTTGTTCATTTTTAAGTCGTTATTTATGTATATATAGGCCTATATGACATTGCTTTAGACTTGGACGAATAGGGTACACAGATCAATGAAAGTGGTGATTTCCAATACATTTTTCTTTGACTACCCCTTTCTTTTTTGCCCTGACTGCATTTTTCATTCATACTTTGTTTGGTTGCATTTAAGAATTAAAGTGTGTTTTTATGATGCCAACAGATCACCATGTGTTTTGAATTTTAAACTTAAAAGGCATATTCCAGTGCTTACCAGTTAATATATAGTGCTATTGTTGAACATGTCATTAACAATAGGTCACATTTACTTTCGGTGTCTGCTAAAGGCTCGTCTCTTACATTCGTAGGCCTACTAGCCGTTTACGATCAGTTTAACACTGACAGGGCTCACATACTAGAGGTAAGCTACCGTCCAATGAGAACTCTGAAAATCATGGCGTGATGGAATAAGACATGAAAACCATAGAATCGGAAAAATTGTGGAGTTCACATGAATGGGTCTAATTGCTTGCAAGATGGTTACCCTGTGTAATTATTCCAGATTAACGCCTTTTTCCTATGTTTCTTCTTGTCTTAGTGATCCCGACAGCACTACCAGGCCTTTGCTTAATAGGCTACTCTTTGTAATCAACCACACTGCTTTACAATTGTCTCCCAAATTTGATTCCACCTAATTCTGTTCCAGAAATCTGTTTTACCACTTCAATTTTTCGTGATTTTAGGAATGATAAAATTCGACAGATTTTTTTTCTTTGTGTGTGTGTGTGTGTGTGTGTGTGTGTGTGTGTTTCCACTTTGTTGTCAACTGAAGCGTTTCCTTTTAAAAATTTTAACTAAAACTTTTAAAAAGTAAACGAAAAGCAAGAATGTTAATGATTAAAGAAAAAAAAAAAAACTGGCGGACATCCATACGCAAATGCACCCTCTTAAAAACATAATAACGATTGTGATAATTGATTTTTTAGACTTTTTAGTGTAGCCTGCTACAAAGTATTTTTCTAATTCCCTGCGATCTATGCAGTAAGTTTATCTTTTGATTAATACTAAGGGCCCAAGATATAGACACTCTCCCTTTATCCATCACGAGATATTTTGTTCAATGTTTTCTGGCACGTTCAGCAAAATATTTTTCTGGTTTAGGCGTTTTCTTAGAACTGAACGTGCGTACGTTTGTGCTTTGTCTGTTACTGTTGAGGGCGTGTCAACATTCTGTCAAATACTGACCTCTAGCGGCTAGCTTTGACCTAAACTACCAAGTGCCCGGATGTAAACAAGATGGCGGAAGAAGGTGCTCTTTTTACAAAGTTTGAAGTGACAGTAAAATCCATTTGAATGTATTTGCTTCTTTGAATGCAATGGCTGTTAGGTCTTATCCGCGCGATTACTATGGCCCGTTAGACGAGGGAGAAGAAATTGTGGACGACGATGATTATGAGGAAGATAGCTGGTCCTCTTACACCGATGATGACTTTTCTGAGTATGTCAACTTGTTTTGGAATGCCATTCGTTTTATCAGTGTGTCTGTCTGGCTTTGTAATACCGCCAGCAATAACCATGTGTCAAAAACACATATTTTCATTTGGACAAAAATGATATCACCCATTTAAATACTTGCTTACAGTACCGCGAATGCAATGCATGTGCATCGTTTAATTTTGAATGCAATTTGTTCAACATTAAAACTAAAAGACACACCGAGACGACAGTAATCGACTTAGTAACTTCAGTGGTTTATTTTAATTGTGTTTATTTGAACTTAGTTCAGTATCCTAAACATTAAGTGCTATTTAGTGTTTTGTGTTGAGGAACAAGGTAACAGAAAGATTTATAGATTGCATCTTGGACCCATTATACACATATATTATTATATAATGGGTTCAAGATTGCAGAAATTGGTATTGTTGAAGAATATTGTAGCATTCTGGAAGCAGTGTAAGTGTCTGGCAAGTAACACATTGTGATATATTACAATGTGGTGATAGAAGATTGGAGTGTTCTTGGACCAAAGTGACTGCCAATCAGTACCTTATCCTCACAGATGTATTCGCTGCAATTTTCCTTGAAAGTTCAATTCATGTTTCTTACACCAATTTATTGCCAACTAATGGCAAATAAACTTACAATACGGGACATCTGTCTATAAACAGTAAGAGTAAACACAAGTAAACAAACATGCTCAATTTAGATATATGTTTTTATATTACAGCAGTTTTGAGCCAGCCTGGGCAAATAAAGTTGGAGAGAAAGGAGACTTGTTCTATGTAGAGCCACCTGAGGGAGAAGAGGCACTGTTCACAAGTCATCAGCCTCTTCATATAAATGGTCACAATAACACAGGTAGAGGTAGTTCAAACACCAGAGAAAAGGCCAGTAACACTGTCTTGGTCCACTCTAGCCAAATAGCTACATAGTTTAAGATAGATTAAAATTAAAATTAAAAACAAAATCATTTGTGAATTTCGAAAAATGTTTTAAATTTTCATTAGCTGAATTACAAGATGTTAGGCATTACTTGTATTATTGATTAGATTAAGCATACATTTGATATTATGGGAATCAGAATGAAGATTTTGTAACTGATCTAAAAGATGTATAATATGTATGCAGTTCATGGTGAAATATTATTTAACTACTAGTTTTGTATTAAGATGCATAATCTTTTGTGGTTTTTCAGGTATAAACTCACACGAAGTGAACTCAGCACAAACAAATGGATCTGCAAAGCAAAAAGAAAAGACTTCAATAAAGAAAATCAAAGGCTTTATCGGACTCAAGAAAAAGGATGACCTCAATGGTCATGCCAATGTTCAGTCCAATAACACCAGCACTCCCCCTAGAAGTGTCACATTCCAGGACTCTGTAGTGGGACAGGGATTGTGGAGACAAGTTTACATCAATGTGGAGCCAGGGAGACACAACTATGGCCGTAGGGCCACCTTGTGTGAGACAGTGTTTGGGATTATCCCGGGGAGTTTTGACAGTCAGCCGATGAGGAATGGTGTGGAGAATGGAGGCCCTGGGGTCAGGGATACCAGGATCATGGTGCAGGGGCTGGTCCCCGAGGGGGAAGCCATTAAGTGTGGACACATTAAGATAGGTAGGATAGACCTGCTAACTGTTGTATGTATTGTTAAACTTTGTTGATTTATGAACATTTTGTAAAATAAATAATGCATGAGTAGGTTTGTGTTACTCTTGCAAGGGAAATATTAGAATGATATTCCATCTGTTATTTATGTAACATTATGTAAGCTATTAAGACAAGATCCTGTTTCACCAGATTTTCTGTAAGTTAAAAAAAGAAAGAACCCTTTTCAAGTATAACCAACTGAATATAGTAAATAAGATATACATGAAGGTAGAATATATACCATGGACATGCTGAGGTGATATATGCAACATAAAAAGTTGTTTTTTGTCTATTTTCAGGTGACTGGCTGATGAAAGTCAATGATTTAGATGTTGATTTTGACTCCATTGATACAGTGATATCTACAATACAGGGACCAACACAGGTAACTAAGTTAGATACACAATTAATGCTACCTGGCAGTTTGGTCAGTTTATATTTTACAGGTACACTCTGAGGTTTGGCCTTATTCAAGCACTATGTGTTTGCTATGTATTTGTTGAAGTTCTATAGTTAAGAATAAAATTTAATTGATATATTGAAACAAAAAATAAGTAAAGTTTATTTTAAAAAAGGTCAACATTACATGAGCTACAAAATTTAAAGTAAATTATTTCAACCATTGTTTAATTTGTTTTTGATTACAAACCATACCAAAGAGTATAGTTGCAGCTTTATATGTTATCACTGAGATGGGCAAGCAAGTCTATTTGTTTCTTACTTTTTAAACTTGGAAAATTGATGAAAATAATTTTATACCTAATATTAACCAACCTTTCTTCCAGGTAAAACTAACCCTTCAAAAGTTGGCCATTGACTTTCCGTCCAGACCAGCTCTGGCCAGAAAGACCAATGATGCAACTGACCACTTGGTCAAGCTGGTCAGTGGGGAGAGACTGGGCGCATATATACCACAGTTCAAGAATGTACCTCACATAGCAATGTACTTAACACTAGAGGGCAGCTCTGACAGCATGAGAGAGAAGGTAAAGGCATCTGGCTCAAATAACCACTAAAGCAACGTTGTCTTCCCCCATCTGTTCATCTTTCATTTATCTCTTGCCAAATTATTAAAAAAGAGTGGATTTTGTTTATAAATGTGTCTATAAATTATAGATAAGATGAATATCTAATATATTTTTATTCTCCATAACTTAAGCTGGCTATTTTCTGCTGTAAGTTTACAATAACACATACATCCACAAAATATGCCTAATTTTAATTGTTTATAATTTAAACTTGCCACTCTTCAGGAGGATATAGTGTACCAGTTTCCAAGACAGGATAACAAACTGGTGCAGGTGCGGGGGCTGTTCATCACTCTGTGCCACATGCTGGTTGATGTCACAAATAACAGTGCCAAAAAGTAAGCAGATTAATCCCTTAAGGCTTATCTCTCTCTGAAATGAAGTAGAATTGTTTGTTTTATTGTTTCAAGGAGAAATTACTGTATTAATGCTAAAAAAGTAGTTGGTTGTCAAACTTGAAAAATAGTTTGCCATACCTAAGCTAGAGATAAGCAAAATGATTTAAAGTATGTATGAAATAGATTTTAAATTATATTACTCGAAACTACTAGATGCCTACATTTTGCTTATCGACACATTTATTATAAATTTCAGTTCTACTCTTCTGGTTGAAGGCCAGCTAATCCATGTGGGATACTCCAAACAAGGCAGAGAAGTCTTGATTATAGGGGTACCTGCTAACAGGTAATGCTGTGTATAGTTTTATTGGTTGACAAATTGGTATCATGATTTTATAACTTACCTTCAAGACAAGTATTTTTTTGTTAATGTTAAAGTAATTTTAATAGAAATGTTAACCCTGCTGTTCAAAAATAAAAGTATATGCTAGACTAATTTTGTCGAGTGCAATTTCAGAGTGCCTGCCGAGCAACTAAACCACGTAGTTGATGACACTGTCAGGATGATGAAGGTGCTGTATGGATCTCTAAGAGGGTAAGGAGAAAAACTTTAAGACTGGTTTTTTAATTGATAAAATATCCCTGTAGATTAAGATTGAGATTAAGAATTAAACGTGATAATACAGGGAATGTTCTGGTAAAAATGATGTAAAGGTTTTAATGCACCAATCACCCCTAAATCTACTTCTGCTTTACATCTATTAAATGTCTAAGATAAATATTAATGGTTCCAAGTTTGTTCTTTTAAATTACCACATATTTTACATATTTATCAAATAATTTTACATATTTATCAAATAATTCGTCTCATTATATTTTCAGTGCTTTTGTTCCGAGAGAGCACCAAGAAAAGCTGGACCATTTTTTCAGCCTCCTGTTCCAGAGGGTTCTACTAAATGAGGAGCTGAGACAGCATGGTATGAAGTGTATGGAGACAGGACAAGATGGCTTCCTGGACACCTTGCCTGGAGTCAGGTGGCTGGATCTGCCAGATGAACCCAAAGTCAACATAAGCAACAGCCTCAGTGAATTAGAAGCAGCAGATTTTGCTGAGATGGTGAGAAGTTATAAGTTTACCAATATTTTAGTAAAAATAATAACCTAATAAAGATATGTGTATTGATTGTATTATAAACTTTAAAATTATGCCTGCAATGCAAAGTTTTAAGGTGGGTAGAACCCATGTTAATGCATGGAATAAGCAATCTTATTCAATACACTCATTCTTCTAAATTCTGTATGTTTCCATCTTTAACTTTTCAGTCTGACAGCTACTATGACAGAAGAAGAAGTTACACCATCTTGGGGTCCTGTCTGTTTTATAAGGTACTGACAGTATTCCTTTGACACTGTTTCATTCATATTTTCCATCAGTTCAAAATACAGCCACAATCTTCTTCTTTACTGTCGTTTTACCTTTTTAAAAATGGTTAATTCATCAGTAAAATATTCTAATTTAAGATAGATGAATTAAAGAGATTAGGAATGAGCAGTACAAGACAAAATTTCGTATCGACTCCCTTTTCATAATAGTAAAACCATCCTACAGATATTTTTATCCGTTCTCAAGGGTGTCTTGATTATCAATTCTTAGTCTAAGACATCTCCCTGGATATTCACAGTTTACCCAAGTATTTCTGCCTGCTGGGGCTGGCATAATAATGCAGTTGTCTTTGTATTGACTTCAGGGTTACTTGATAGCCAACCACCTACACAAAGAAGACTTCATGGATATCGCTCTATACACCAAGTATTACTGCCTGCTGGCGTTATCATCTGAACACCAGGTGGGGCAAGTGGTTGTCTGGAAGGAGGTGTTCCCCACGCGGCGCTGTCATGAGCAGACGGACCCCTTAATTCCAGGTTATACGGAACCAGATGCAAGGTGGTTTTTACTGGTGGTGGGACTGGTGAGTTCACCAATTTTGCTTCTTTCGAGATGACAGTTAGTAGTAGCGTATTGCTTGATTGCTCTGTAGGTTGATTCTTTCTTTATATTTGAAACATGTCAAACGTATGTTGAAACCCTGTAATTATTTATAATAGACTTGTGAAGATTCTTTTTTTGAAACTGTTCTACACTGTAATTATTTATTTGTATTTAACAAAGGTTTTTGTGGTCAGAATGATACATAAAGGGATGTAATTGTTGTTCCAGAAACACAGTCTGATATGTGTGTTGCTAGAGGCAGGAGGATGTGCTGGCTGGTAAGATATCACTACTTAAATTCTTTATGGTGTAAAAATATTAATTTTTACCTACATAAAACATGGTTTGCCTTACAAACACCTGGACCACAACTTAAAAAAATCATGAGTCTCAGAAAAAACTTAAAAAATTAACATCCTTTACTCTCTTCATGTTTTTATTCAGGAAAGCGAGGAATGGTAAAAATTTTCTGCATGTACATTTTCCCCTAAAGTCTCCAGATTATTGTCTGAAATCCTAAAGTGATTTGCATAAAATAACACCCTGGAGTTTTTCAAAAAAGTCAATCTCAATCTGTTCAACACTAAAGAATGTTCTTAGTAAGAAACTTATCAGTTTTTCTTCCTAATTTTCCAGGATAGAGGGTCACCCCACCCCTGACCCCTTCTTTGTTGACCAGGCCAGGGCCACTCTGCTCCACTTGGAGACACTGGACATGGCTGGACAGTGTGAGGCCAGGTAGGGACATGTGTGCTCATACAGGACACATCTGGACCAGTTTATGGTTCAAAATTGAATGTAGAAGGGAGTTTCTTATAGGAACATAAGACTGGGTTTGGAGTGCATGTTGTATGTGTTGATGATGAGATCTACTTGTACTGAGGTTACAATGCTGTGGCCCAACTTGGGTCATTTGGCACCTTTTTTCTGATTAAACCATACAGCTTTTATGTTTTTTCAAGCCAAGTCAAAATATTGAGTCAACTTTGTTGAATGGGATTTATAGAAAAGTGCATGGAATATGGAATATGCATCCAAAGATGTAATCATTAATTGTAACATGGTTTCTGTCTATACTCTCATCTCTTCATCTTCCACAGACTTCACTCTCCATCTCTCCCCGCTCTGATCACTGCAGACCAGCAGCTCCAGGGTAGTAAAGGTGCTTCCAGTCAACAGAATGCCAAAGCAGGAGTTAAAGCAGGTAAGAGGAGCATTAAATAGTTCACACATGAGAATTCAGTTTTGTTAATTCTCCCTGGGGTCTGTTATACAAAATGGTAGTATACTTTAATGGAAGCTATGCTTATATTAACTCGTATATATGCTACACAGCTAGTTATCCCTTGTTTACTTATGAGGTACAGGTTTATATCAAACTACATTGTGACATTTCTCATTCTACCATGGCCCCCTGGGATATGAGGTTGATGTAACCTTTTTTCATAAGCAAATGTGGGGTAATGATTTATCATTCAATGAACAGACATTTTTCTCAGTAATTTATTTGTCCGTATGCACAGCAAAACATTACATCTCCATAAAATCTGTCTGGGTGCAAGAAAGTGGTTTCCATCCTATCCAGGCCTTGTTCTGACATCCAAGCCAGGAAAATGTGTCATAATGTTGCAATTTACAGCCTTATTGCATTGGTCTTTTTCTGTACCTTAACACTGATTAATAGCTCTGTTTACTTCAGATGAACAGATAATGTGGACCAAAAAAAAAAGAAAAATCTAGAGTATTTTTAATCAATCAAGTTTTATGTTTTGTTCATTGAATGATAACATTGTATATCATATTTTATATATTTGATTTTGCTTAATGGTATTCATTATGTATCAAAAGTACACAGCTTTCAGTATCATACACTGAACATATTTATTTCTACCATATTAAGTTCTTCAAGCTTTCTGTTAAAATTTTGGATCTTTTTCCAAACAGTTTAGACTGTCAAAAGACTAATTTATTAATTAAATTTTTTACTGAATAGCTTTTTATGATAATCTCTTAATTCTAGTCAAGGGTACCTCTTTCCTATATTTATTTATTTATTCTAACATGAAAATCATATGGAGCGTAGACTTCAAATATATATTGTGTGTTTGGTGGCAGTGCTTTTCCTTCACTAACTCTGGGTTGTGTGACCTGCTCTGTGCTCTAGGTGCTTCCCCAGTCAGCAAGAAATCTCAGGGACCAGAGTCCATACTGAAGAATAAAAAGCCTAGTCCACTACTGGACAGGTCAAGAACAGGTATTGACCAGTGATGCTCATTTAAATGTCTAACCATGAATGTTCCAGCTGAATCTGATACAAAAAATGATACTGATAGACATTCAGTGCAATTATGATGTTAGATAATTTAAATTATTGGACAAAGTTTATGAAGTTAAAAAAAATTAGTGTGAAATTTTGACAGATTTTGGTTTTTCACAATGTTATTTGTCCAAGTGGCTAAGTTTTTACTATTTTAATCATGAGTGAAGTTTCATCTTTATAGAAATGCCCTATACTAGACACCAAGTTCATGTTATGTCTTAAAACAAAGTGACACCTTGCAGAATATGTTGACTATCTGGATCAGTAGGGAACTGTATTGAAACAGTGGTGATGTTTACTTTCAGAGTCTGATGGTGACAGTACCCAGTCATTTGACACCAGTGAGGGGTCCACCCCTGTCATGAACAGGACATTTGACCGCAAGCCGTCTGCTGGTTCTGAGGACTCTGGGGGCAGTGGAGGCAGCAACCAGTTGTTCAAGGTACCATTTTATATCTGTTCATGATTTAGAGAAATGTGATTTTTACTAAACTTGAGCTTTTGTTCATGTCTATTGTGCCAGATTCTCTTTTCAAATATACTTGATTTAGGATGATAGACCAAAATAGCATTTTTCAGATATTTGAAAATATTTGAAAGTTTGTGAACATTTGCTGCTTTATAGAATTTAAGTATGATTCAATGTTTTGTGTTGTTATGTAAATCACTATATAAAAATTAACCCAAAAAGACAAAATTAACCCAAAAAGACATCTAACATGCCTACGTAAGCAGAAAAACCTTGACTGTCTATGTAATGTAGTGCATAATGCTGTATGTCTTATTTTCAAGGGAATTGTTTTAATTCAGAACACTAGCAAGAAGAGCAGAGCCATGCCAGGTGCCTATGACATGTCTGGGATGAGGAGGGACCTCCTTCGACAGGATTCAGTCAAGTAAGCTACTTACTTACTTACCTGCCTTATCCACTGTACTGCTTAATTCTTCTGCTTTAATTTTTTTTTTTTTTGTTTTGTATAAGGGCCCTAAATTATTTTTAAAAATGACAAAATTAAAAAAAAACAAGACATGTTAACTTATTCTTGTCCAGGTGATCAGAACTGTATTACATTATCATAGATGTAGTCTCTGATCGTCATCATTATAAGGTACATATCCTAAAGAGTCAATTTGGTTTGACCATTGCAGAATGACCGCTGGCCTTGACAACACACTGTTCCACTACTTGCACTTGGACAGCATGGAGGGGGTGTATGTGTGCCCAACTGGAGCAGAGGTCAGTGACCTAGAGGGCAGTGCCCTTCACACACAGCTAGTACAGAACTTCCACGCATGTTGCCTCATCATCAGGAAGGTCTTTGAGAAGGCAGTCAAGGCAAAGGTAAGGTTTTAATAGACTGGGGTGTGTTAGGTGTATGGGGTTTGACATGATATAAATGAGGTCAATACACACTGTGTAGTTTAAGTGTAATATCTCCCTCCCCCTTCCCAAATGTATAACTTTTTCGTCTCTCATATTAGAAAAATTAGAATAGAACTAGTAGTTTCACTAGTGCGCCAAGTTCTGTTTGATTAAACTAGTAAAAATTTGCCAAAAAGTTTATGGGGGGAAGGGTACAATGGATTGGCTCTTATCGAGGGAACATGATGCTGCGCAGTGTTTTACAGTAATAAGCATCATCTGCCCCAAGAAGTGAAACATTTTTAATCAAGTTTAAAAATTAATGATCAAAGTATGAACTGGTTCACTAATATCTCATCTTACCAATTGATGGGTTAAGATAATTATCATTTGTATGCAATACTGTGACAGTCTTTGTGATAGTAAGAAGCTGCCAAGAATTTCTTATGGTATTTCTCATTAACATTAAAACTTAATGAAAGATTCCCATCATCATTAATCAGTAGTACTTATTAACCATCTGTATGTTGAGGACTGAATCCTATGTGATTATGATTAATTGACTATACTGTGTACTGTCTCCCTTTCAGGAGAGAGAAACCAAGGGTATCAAGAGCCGTCTGGGTGAGGACACTTCCTTGATAGATGTCAAAGAACATGGTGTGCTGTTCAGGTGTTCTCCAGAGAGTCGTACTGACAAGAAAAAAGAGGCACCGTCATTAACATACTGGGTTGTAGGGTATGTGTCTGCAGAGTTTTATTTTTTCCAAAATACTAAAAAATTTTTGAAATACTGCTTTTTTTCAAATTAATTTTTGAAAATTTTATTAACATTTTGCTGTGTCAAAATAATTTTTAAATTGTCTAATTTATTTATTTATTAAATTTTAGGCGTCTCTTCTTCGATCCTTACCCCAGAGAAGTTTACGTCTGCTTTCAAGATTCAGCACAACAAAATTTGGTAGAACTGGCTTTCAAGTTAAGTTTTGGAATGTGTGTTTAGGTTGTCTGCGGGGAGAACAGAGGATTCTTGAGCAAAATAACCCAATCACATGAAAACCTGTTTATATTCCCCACATTGTCATTCTATGAAAAGAAAAGAGTGGAGATTAGAGTTGACACTAAGTACGGCCATCAAGACCAGATTTGAGAAATTCAGTCATCTGGTTTTGACAGGATATAGATGTTTCTCATGTTATGGAGAAAAAAAAATGTGTACAGCGCTATGAGTTGTATCAGTTGAGACCTGGACAAACAACTTGAGAGCGATGTAAACATCGTTGCCAACTTGCCATAGTGATCATGAAAAGGGACCAAGAAACTTTAGCACAAGTAGATTTAATTAAGAAGCAGAGTGGGCCATTGGTTTTATATACTCATGTATATCATATATATATTTATGTATATCGTTCTATAAATCCCAACTCACTCATACACCATAAAAGCAATACTCTTTCCATCAGCTGCTGTGTCACAAGGACCATCACAAGTGTCTTGATACACTTTGGAGAGTAGACTCTGGAGCCGTAATTGTACTTAAAACGGCATCCGTCATTATGCATATCATCGTACACCAGTATTTCAAGAGAAGTGCAGGAGTTTTGTATTTGTTTTAATTGTAGGTCTGTTTTTTCCTGAGTACAATTTTTTTTTGTAAGAAGGAGAGTGTGGGTGATGGATTTAAAACCTATTTCAGTCACTTCATTTGTCATTACTTAACAGGATTTTTATACACCAACAATCTGGTGTCCCAGTTACATGACAGTAATTGTTATGACTGAAACCTTAAAAGGGGACTACTATGTTTTTGTTAACCGATACTTGTTCAGTAAAATTTCACTTTCACAACTTTGTAGGAATCTCACTCCAGTTAATTGTAACTTCTGTTACGAATCTCACTCCAGTTAGTTGTAAGTAGATTTTCTTGTTTTCATGTTTGCAGTTACAATATAAGTATGTAACTGTCCTTGTCTGACATAGACACCCCGTTAATCATTGAATAAGATGTCACCATTACTGGGAACAAATTATTGCCAATCATTTCAGAATCACATAAATCATGGTTAATCTTGTCTTAATATATGGATTGGGCCACTTTTACACTTGAGTCAAAAATATCGTGAAATAAAATCAATGTTATTTTTATATATACTATATGTTTAAACTAAAGAAAAGTATTATTATTATTATTTATTCTTGCCATTTCACTGAATAAACATTTTCTACTTACACTGCCTGTTGTTGGAATGATGAATAAAAAACCACTTACAGATAAAATTAATGTTGTCTTACAGTACACTTAATTTTATTACGTAGAAACCCTTTTGAATATTACATAACGCGTAAGACTCCCAATAAATTGCACTGCATCCAACATAACTCATTTTTCAGTCGAGACACAGGTGTAAGGTCCACCACTATGACCTGCACAGGTAAAATATATCGTTCACGGTTAAAAATGACCAACCTCTCCCTTTTAAGGACATTAAAAAATGTCCTTCTGGCGTTGCTCACAGCAATAATGGATGCAGCAAGAGGAAACTCAGACGAAATTCATCATAGGCGGTTAGGCAGCATGATCAATTTGTGGGGATCCCTGGAGGTTTATACATTTTTCAAAAGAAAACTTTGGTGTAACACCATGCAGATGTCCTCATATTTATTTCATTCACTGATGAATGATGATCGGTGGAACTGTTTTTTGGGCGTGAATTATTTACCAGCTGACTGCAAGATGCCATCCCAAACGTTACCGCAAACACGAACAAGAGGGCGCAGTCCTTGGCCATTGCAAAGTCTCTTACCTGTGTTTCAATTTTTACAAACGAAATAGTGTACCCAATAGTATACATGTGTGTGTGTGTGTGTGTATGTGTGTGTTCTAAAGTAATAATTATACAAGCACGTCTCTGCTCTGTACAATAATGCCAGCTGGAACCATCAATTATCGGGAGAAATACTTGGCAAAGGTACACTGAAGCCACTTAATTGTTTAAAATTAAAGCATTTGCTGAAGTTCAACGTCTATAAAAGTCCAATGACTAGTAAAAGTCATACCAATAAAATTATCTTTAAATTGATCAGAATTTTCATCTAGGGGCACATTAAAGAAATGGGAAGACGGCGAGATGAGATTCATTTCAGTGTCCTACCAAGAAGTCCCTTTATAACTTCTTGGTCTTACCAAGTGCCGTCATATTATTTACCATATCGTACGCGTTGTTATACAATCCAAAATAGATATTTTGACTAAATTATTCATTCTAACCAATCAAAATCAATTTAAACCACTTGTTAATCGTTTAACGTTACGGACAGTCGAGTTCACACAATGGCTGCTCACTCACACAACTGAATTCAAAACACTTATTGATAATGTGCCGCCTGGCAGTTTTTCCCGTCAGTGCAAGTGAATGTATCGATTGCGTGCGCTTTGTTAGATAAGACCAATCTCGTCCGACTGGGATGAACGTGGAAGGGGCTCGCCAAACCACGGGCACATATATATCTACATGTAAATACACGTTTATTTAAATACCTCGAGTTACTCCATTGGAGATTATCGGAGGAACGGTCCCGGTGACAGTGGTCATGAAAATTGGTCCACAGCATGAAACGACTGAGGTTTCTCGTTAGCTGTTTTCTGCTTGGCTACGTCTTGGGTGCCTGTTGCATGCTTACTGAGGCGTAAGTACGTTTTTTCTGTACCTTTTGTTGGCGTTATTTCAAAGAGAAGGGGAGAAGGAATCAACTCTACCATACAGTTCTATAATTCCTGTCACAATATTAACTTATAGTGTTTTCTTTTTTTTTACCCCTGTTTACAGGAGTTTTATATGACCGTCAAATGTATGTATAGGGTGGACTATTAAGGTCACGTCAAAAAAAGCAAAGAAAAATTCTTTCGTGTTCAGTGATCTGTTGGTGTTGTTTTTATGTACACGGCCAATTTGCAGTAAGATTAAGTAAATAAACTTGCTTTAACAGGGCGACACACAACAAGGAGAGTCATGGCGTTCAATGTCCCAGTTTCTCAATTGAAATTGGCAACATATCATAATTCTAATTGATCAAAGTTTTGCATCAGTAAATAACAAAAACGTGGAGGATGTAAGGGGTTTGGTGAAAAGAAAGAAAACTCAAGATCTTGGTTAATTTCCTCATTTTTGAAACGGAACCATGCTTGAACATTTGTTTGACTTACACTTGTTAGTCAACTACACGAAAGATAAGTATCGCAAAATGACAGTTAGTGGTAAGACTGTCGTTGTTATCCTTTCGCCAAATGTTGTGATATTGTAATATATCCAGATTTGCTGGTGATTAAGCAGGTGGACAAATTAATCGTTTCAGTAGTCGCAAAGGAGATTATATCATCCGTAAGACGAATCTGACTTTCCAAACAAACGGTGGCACTGGGTCTATATGCCTTCAGTCAATACACAAAGCTGTGTCTAACAGACCAAGAGAGCATATGCATCTGCGGGCTTAGAAATGTAACCTTTAAATTGATTGTTTGCTCCTGTCATATTAGTTATAAATCAAAACTGGGTACCCTCTCTATCCTACAGCCGATCATACACATTATCTAAAAAGGCGTTTCTGCATCACTTCCCTGACCAGTGAGTACTTACTAGAGATAAAAAGGAAACAGTAGCAGTCTGGGGCGTGGTATCAAATATCTATTATGAAATTTAGATAACATTCTTTAATGCATACACGTGTACAACACGAATCACAACATAAGTACACCGAGAAAGTGAAATTGCAAAGATAAAAAGGGTGATGGATCAGATAAACAAGTTGTAATTTAGCACAAACTGAATGAGCTGGAACAAGCACACTTATCAAGTGCAAAATGTAGTTTGGGGCCTGTAGTTAAAACGTCTGTTTGTCAATAACAATTCACCAGTTATGTTTGTCCTGAAAAGGGCAAATAACACTACCAATAGCACTGATGGCCAAGAAAAGTGAGGTGGGCATGCTACAGGTGTCTCTGAACCTCTGTTGACTCGACAATATATTTTGCTCTAGATGGTTTCATATTACATTTAAATCTATTCCTGCCGTATGTGATTGTAACTTCGGGCAAAGAATGCAAATAGAGCTAGGACATTCAATCTTGTAAACTCCCTCTCACAATAGTCTCGAGAACTGTAACCCATATACAAATAACAAAAAATCATTTGATTCACACTTATTGGAGGCGAGATTGGGCAATGTGAAAAGGTGAATTGATTTTATTCTACACTCATAACTTTGTCGCATTAATCATAACAGTTTATTTCTTTGTTGAAAATTGTGTTTTGGTTTATATTGCCAAAGCTTTGAGAGTTTCCATGGTTAAAGAATTAATAAAACATTTCTAGAAATCAACATATTGCTTCGTCGTTAAGAGCGTGTTTATTCTACGAGGGAACGTTTCAACATACTTTTTATTTATTGTTTCCTTAACACAAAGATTTCCACCTCTGTACTTTTCGAATATCAAGTTACATTATATTGTAATTAACGTTGCATTTCTCATCTTTAGTGTAAGGATAATAGAACATTGGACGATATAATATATAATTTCACATAGTTTATAGTTTCATATTAGCAAGGCGAATTCAACAGTGCTCAACACTTTGATAAACTGCAATAATAGTTTCTATTCGAATATATATTTAGGACATTTCGTCTGAGGGGCCATTCAGAATGAGAAGAGCGGAGTGCTAGTTGGTCCACGGCCTAAATATGGCGGACCTACATGACAGGAAGACCGCTTAATCCTGTAATGGTCTCTCCGCCTCTTCCACGCCCCCCCCCCCCCCACGCGTCATCCCTGCAGGGGCACAGTATTAAAACTCGTCTCAATGCGACCTGTCGAGGGACGACGCGTGGGGAGGGGTAGGAGGGGCGCCATATTTAGGCCGTGGACCAGCTAGCACTCGGCTGTTCTCATTCTGAATGGCCCCTCAGAGATATGGAAATGGGTTTTACTGCAAAGCATATTATATTGATAACAGTATCATAAAAAAAAATAGGTTGTATACGGCTGTCACGTTTCTAGCTCTGACATCTTCCAGTCTGATAGCTTTTCGACGAGGATTTTCTTCAAATCTTTAGCTAACGTGAAGATAATTTTCATAAAGTAAAATGACACGTGATTGTGGTGGGAGTTGTATGAAATGTCTTCCCCCTTTCACTCGTGTTAAAATTATTGTGATTATTATGTCAATCGATCACAGGACAAGTTATGGAAACAACTTGGAGGACGGACTCATTTAATTCTGATAGAAAGTCGCGTCTTAGGGAAAATAGTGTTAGGAACAATCGTTTGTGTAAACAACCACGTGATTTTCGTTTCAGAAGAAACTAAATTTTCACACGGCTTGTAAGATTTCAACAACAGTAATAAAATGAAATCATAACGCTTGACGAACTATTTGCCTTCCGTGAATGCAACAAATCAAAATGAAAGGGTCAAGGTTTTTTACATTCAACACTACCTTTATAGCAGCCTTTGTCCAGGTTGCTAAACACATACCAAGTAAAATATTATAAAAGAAGCAGGGGAGGCACCGTGTCTAGTTGCCTTAGCATTTCAGTTGCATTTTTTTAAAGTTGCTGCTTTATATGCTTTATATGAAATCCAAGGTTTATTTTTCAGACAACGCCCATGGTGACTTAAACAAAATATAGTTTTAGGTCTGAGTTGCGGTAGTTGATGCTTGAAGACTATAGTGTCACCCCCTCATCATACGATGTCTAATCCAGGCTCCCGCGTTACTCAGAGATTTAAAAGATTAAATAAAACGGAGGTTGCGTTTAAGAGATTTAAACAAGAGTAAAACGTTTTGTTTTAATTCGGAACAGGGAAATGAGAGAGGGAAATCAAAAAGGGAGATAAAATGGGTGCCGGCAGGGAGGAATAAAGGGAAGAAAGAAGGTAGAAGAGGGGAAGGAAGAGAGGGAAGAGGGAAGAGAAAGCTACTTATTTTAGTCCAGTTTGGTGTGACGAAGTTTTTAAAGGATAGCAATTCGGGCGTGACCATGAGCTTTGCTTTAAAAGGCAATTTTCTCTTCTCCAAATAAATATAGGTATTTATCTAAGCGATGTGTTATTTGAAGCAAACCAACCGACTCAAGATGTAAACATCAAAACAAGAAAAATCTTTTGCTGCTCTTTGTAAAGTGGGTATTCACAAAACAAGGAGAGCGACTAAATGTTTTGGGAACAATTAATTTGATAAATTATGTATCATTCTTTATTGACAATTCCAGGCAAAATGCGACCAGTGAAAAAAGCTCTGAGTATATGGAACAAATAGAATTCTTGGAGCACCTGTTGAATCTTACATACGACAAGCGGATCAGACCGCAGTTCACTGAAGGTATTGCCCTGAATTGGATGTTCGAGTTACTTATCATTTCGGCATCTTTTATTATTTAATGATTTCCAGGTAAAACATTCTCATGTAAAAGACACGAGAACTTTTCCTCAACCCAAATAATGCACATTATTTTCGGTAATTGTTATATTTCGTAAATATTGATGTTTTCTCCTGTTAATGTTGATCAAGAATAATCATGTTAAATATCATATAAGCTTGTATGCAGAAATACCTCCCTTCGCTATTATATTGCTTTTATATTTCATTTCATTTATTTCATACTAGTGCCTGTTTTTAATTGATATTTAATTGACATTTTCCTTTTCATAAATCAAGATTTAACAGAATTCTGTTACGTTTTATTTATTTATTAATTTTATTTTTTCAAAAAAAAAAGGAAAGCCAACCGTCGTGACTGTCGACATATTGCTCAGTTCTATAACCGACATCAATGCGGCAGCCATGGTAAGTATAAATGTATTCATGTTAACTTTGTTCACGCACACTGGCTCTTCATGACGAGAAATAAAGAAAAGATTGTCCCAACCGAAGAAAATGAAATACAAAATTGGTTCAAGGTAGTCTGTCGGGTTTGCATACAGTGTTTGGGCGTGAGGGGAAAAATATAGATTAACGTGGTCCAGTCGGTTCAATTAAATGCTTCATGCCCTTCGCCTATTCTATCTGAAGGGGAAGGACAAATAATCATTTCAGGTCGTTTATCATAAAAGGATGAATTTTTTGATAAAACGTACTTGCTTTTAGAAAACTAGATTAAGGTTATGCATCAACATCATTTCCTTTTTTATTGGTGGCGTTATATATTACATTTTGCTGACTTCTATCGATTTAAATTTCACTAATAAGGTCCTTGAAAGGGATAGAACAAAATGAAACTTTTAGGCACATTATTTGTCTCTGAGTTACACAAACGTTCTGTCCATGGCTATCTTCATTTACTCCTGAATGGCCGACCATCTAACCGTTATGTGTTCATTCGTTTGATCCACTGAATAGCTGAAGGCTTCCCAACGTGACAATTGTGATCTAATCGTTAATTTGAACAACAAATTGAATGCGTGCCACTCACGATTTGCTTTAGCTTTGACTGATCTTCTACTTCACGGGAACTCACCAGGATCTTGAGTTTAGACATGGGCCTAACTGAACAAATATATTAACGAATGAATCAGTTTAATATGGTAGTTAGGATAATCTATACTTGTTTCTAACGGTTCACGTATTTAATTTTCCCGGCATTACAAAAAGTGGTATCTAGGAAGAGAATTGATTAGATTTGTTTGGCATAGTCGAGGAAATACCGTATTCTGATACTGTACAATTAATACTCCCTCGACATCAAATATATAACAGGCAAGCACGCCTTGATTAATGTATTGTCTCTCTTTCTAAAGAATCTTTTGTTGTGGCTGTGTTTTCTGGTTCTTTGAAGTGATATCGCTGTCATAAAGTTTAACCACGGGGTGTCGCCAGCTCCACATAGATACAATTCAGAAAACTTTGGGAACGATTGTGGTGGGGTGGGGTAGGTTAGCGTGAGAACAAATGGTCTGTGAGATATCATATGAAAAGTTATCCTATATACTTAATGACCTTCAATAAACAGTTCAGCGAGAGATAAGCCCTCGAATATCTAGTAGCCTGTCGGGTATTTAGTAATAATAATAATAATAATAATAATAATAATAATAATAATTTTATTGAGCACAGAAATGTTTTTACATCTAAAGACTCTCTAAGTACTATGTACTCTACATATAGGATAATAGTAATGAAAGTAAATAAATGAACATTTAAATGTAGCGTTATACAATATACATTATAAAGAGATACAAGAAAAAGGGATGAGATCGTTTGTGTATTTGTTGCAAATTATATGCGTTTTATCAGTACCTTATTAATAGATATTTGTAGGTATTCTCTGTAAATGTAACTACAAGTACTCCATCACCTGTACATTTACACAATCATGAATAACTTCCCTCTTTACATGGAATTCCTAGATCATTAGAAGCATAATAGTCTTCTTACTTGGAAAATCAAAGATTGTCAGACAAACATTCGTGTCCAATTAGACATTTTATGTTGTAATCCCATCAATATTTTAAGAAAAGCGAAACCAAATCGTGACTACAGCGAAGGCACAAAACCGCAAAATTTGCAAATGTTATCCAATCCTCAGGTTGTCCAATCCTTCTGTCTTCCTTTCAGTCTTTCTTTCTTGCAGTTTTTCTGTCTTTTTTTTATATAAAAATTGACCAAATAGTATAATTTTCACCTAGAGAATTCGTAGTACGCTGTTGGATTCTATATCAAATTTCTTTGCAGGAATTCGGCATAAATTTCTACTTGCGACAGATGTGGAAAGAGCCCCGCCTAGCCCACCCGAACGCAACCAACGACAAGATGCTGACTCTGTCTGAGTCTCAGCGGAACCATATCTGGGTACCCGACTTGTTCTTTTCAAACGAGAAGAAGTCTTCCTTTCACACCATTACCTTACCCAACTTAATGATACGAATATCGCCGAAGGGGGACGTTCTTTACTCTCAGAGGTAATTCATATCTGACCTGAGACTTTAAAATGTAATTAAAATTTAATTTAATATTTTCATGATAGTCAGTGTATTGAAAAATTACCAGTGCTCATTTTGCATAACCTACTATGATAAAATTCACCTCTCGACTGGTTCTGTATTTTATCTTCTCTTCCAGATTGTCAGCAACACTAAATTGCGAATTCGATCTGGTGAAGTTTCCGATGGATAATCAAACATGTCGGATTAAGATGGAGAGCTGTAGGTATCCATACTACCTGGTTTGACTTTCTACGTACTTATACCTATCCAGTATAACATCTTAATTCCTGCAGTATTCTCATTAAACTGCAATGAAAAGTTCTAGGTGTTTCGGCGGCCTTTTGCAGACCCGTTTTTGGTTACGTTTTACATTTTGCAACACAATGATTGTATTTTGTATAATGAAATGCAGCTGCCCGTATTTAACGTCGCTTTTCATATTAACCACTTTTCTCAATAATTACCTTTCTTTTTCATTAATTTACTTTCGATACTGTTTACTAAGTCACTTCATCGTTCCAAACTATCACTAAATTGTGGAGATCTCCATACAGGCTCACTGAACGAAAATAAAATGATTTCCCAACTGTTTTATCCACCCAAATGGTCAACTTAGATGTCCGACAGTCATCAGTCCAGTCATAGGCCACCTTAGGGAACTATTTGTTGGTTGATCATCTACTGGACTGGTCATTTGATTGTCTCACCGTTTTTTCCACAGATGCACACTCTACGACCGACTTGATATTCAAATGGGTAGATCGCGTACAATATGACGAAACCCTAGATAACACTCTCCCAGAATTTGAGTTGGACGGTATTTCTACAGGGGACTGCACCGCAGTTTACTCGACAGGTAATTAAAGTAGTTATGAAGATTAGAAAAACTATCACTGGACCTGTTTCGAGCAATCGAGACTGTAGAGGAATAACGTATTTCCGTCCGTTATTTCTAATGCCGTTGTCACATTATTGAAAGAAACAGTTCGTATGCAAATTACATTGGCTTTTTCGATTTTGAAATTACTGATTAAAGAATAAACAAATCAAACTTTTCAACCAAGAAATAATTGGAACCGTTTACTACCTATTTTAAATCGTTTTAAAGCTTACCTACAATCTATAAAATTACTTTTACTATGCTCCTTTATTAAGTAATTGCTCTTAACGCAGCTAAAAAGGCAAATGATTTCTGATATTTATACGTTACATACACCGACGGACTGAACAAATTCTTGTCATATCTAGGATCGTTCACGTGCCTCTACATGGACCTCCATGTCACCAGAGATTTACGCTACTATATCCTGAATGTCTACTTGCCGAGTGTCATCGTTGTCCTGTTGTCATTTGTCAACTTCTGGATAGATGCCACAGCTGTTCCAGCAAGGACAACGGTTGGAATCGTCACCATCCTTACAGTGACAACCCAGAGCGTGACACTTCAAGACCGTCTACCAAAGGTGATTGCGGACGTATATAACACAACTCATATTTTCTAGCAAGACTGGAGCTTCTCTCTCTCCATCTCTCTCTTACATGTTCCAGCCCACTTGGAATATGTATATCGTCGATGGGTTCGTTTCATTATGTCCTCCCCCCCCCCACCCCCACCCCCACATCCTTCACTTTCCTCTCTCATATATGTGTTAAGATCGATGAAAGGCGAGTTGACAATCTCATTTTAATGTTAAAACAAGTGTAATTCTGTCTCCTAAATCTGCAAAGTGATATTGTTGTTTGTAATATTTTTTCATTTCAAAGGTGTCTTACATCAAGGCAATAGACGTGTGGCTCTCAGTTTGTCTGGTGTTCGTGGTGGGCTCTATGTTAGAATACGCAGTGGTCAATGTGATGCTTCAAAGGGAGCGAAGGCACAAAGAAAAGATCGCACATCAAAGTTTGAACCGTTTGAGCTCCAACGGTGACATTTCAAAGGTGAGAATTTGTGGATTACAGACTCCAGTTTATTTCTCCGAATATTTTTTCTCCAGTCCTTCATTGCTGTCGGGATAAACTTCTTTATTGGAGACCCCCCTAGCCCCAATTAACATTTTTTTTATATTCACAGAATACATTTATTCAAGAAAGAACTGCACAGCTCATTAACGGACCAACTCTTGCGATACATTATACTTCCGAATTAAATAACTTAAATATAGACTTTCGTAAATGACCCAACTTGCTTTAATGTATCAGATGAATGACAATGCAGCACCAAGTGAATCGCGATTCATCGGAGTTAAAATCGTTTTCTGTTATATTTCAGGACACACAAAAAGATCAGTCCATCACTCCAGTGGAATCTCAATTTGAAAAGGAGGAACTCTCGGACAGATTATCCACAATTCAAAGTGCCAATTACGAACACAAACAAACGCCTTCAGAAAAAGTAGACTATGTGTCCCGGATCGCGTTTCCAGTGTTATTCTTCTCTTTCAACATTGTCTACTGGTTAGTTTACCTGACCAGCATATAAAACATTTCAAAACTATTTTCATCAAAAATTGGCACTTTTATAATAAAAATTCAAACTTCGATTAAGTGAAAGACTCCAGTAGATTGTTTTATTGGATATAATGGCAATTTACACATCCTCATTGCTTTATACTGGAAATGCCATAGGAAAATACTTCTGTTAAATTTCATTTTAAAAATGGAAAGAATAGAGCGACCAACGAAGTCACGACTGCCGTTCGCTTAGGATTGCAGCATCCTTAGTCTTTGTAAACCCCCCTCGAACTCTCTGATACAAACCTACCACATTTCACGTCTGGAGTGGTTTGGGAAGCACGATATTCCCATTGCTAAGTAAATAGTAATTCCATTTTGATAATTAAATACAAGTCGCAAAGTAAATATTGATCGAGTATATATGACCGATGTTTGATGAAAACGACAGTGATCATTCTAAGAGAACAGTTGCGCTTCTTGAGAGATTACAGAGAGGGCAGCCAACATCTTGGTCTGGGGCTCAAAGTCATGCGCAGTCATTTAATCATTATCAAGCCAGCGGGATGAATGCAGCAGTTGAAATAATCAGGCCTTGTTTAAATAATCAAAGGTTGGCACCGTTCTACCTGGGTGCAATGGGTTAACAACAAGGAATCATGCAATATCCCTTGTTTTCGTCAATTTCTTAATTCTACAGCAATGGAGGCCGGTGCTGCCCTATGTCTGTTGCTTGTATTATCCTGTTGTTTTTATCTAAGAAGTTAGCAAACAGTCTGTCACCTCTGGAACTTCTGTTTCTTTAACAAAGAATTCTTCAATGCAACCTGAAAATAAAAAGACCCGTGTATACGAATGAAAAATAATTAAAACTTGCGAGTCGTAAGATCATAAGGCAAGAGCTTCGCGTCAGAAAGGACTAACTGATTGGATTTTTTTTTAATTTTGGCATCAGACTGCTCACTTAATGAATTAATTTTCAACAAAACCTGTAATTCTTGGAAATGCCAACAGTATGGCAAATTCTTCAATTATAGACAAGACAAAGAAAAAGGTAAAGCTTCATTTGCCGCATGGTCAAAGTTAATCCACTTCCAGAAAACATACAGAGATAAATGGCTTTTCCCACTATGACGTTTTCAAAACGTGTAGCACCCCACAAGATTGGTATGGCAAATAAACGTTCTTGTTCAAACACTCACCTGTTTATCTTTAAACGATCTTTTCTGCTTCCTCAATATTTTCTGTTTGACCATCATGAATGGTTTCTTTTTCTTTTTCTCTTTATTAGTGGTGCTGGCTCTGGGGTTTGCTCTCTCCTTGTGACCAAACTTCTCCCTGTCCTTCCTGCCAGCCTGGGGGAGAGATTAAGAAGGTGGAGTGCAAATAAATCAATTAAAGCATATGACCGTTTTTTTCTTCTTCTCTTCGCCATTTCAGTATGCTAACAGCAGAAAAGAAAGCAATTTGGAAGAGCATGATATAAAAGCGTCGTTTCAAAGTGAGGTTAAAATCACACTTGTGCTTAGACTATGACCACACGTGTGAAACCTGCACTGAAGATTTTGGAGAATTCTATATATAAACTTGACATTAAAACTTACCAAGACTGTGGCCAACCGGGACTCTTTGTCATGCCGGGGTCTTTTGTGGACTAACTCTATGGAAGTCAACTTTACCAAATCACCTCTAAAAATAACAAAAAAGTATATCTAGTCATTTTATCTATTTTTCTTTTTTCAATATACTTACCTTTTCTCTAAACCTAAAAGGCTGTACTTAAGTTTATTTGAAGAATTTTCAAAATTCACAGGATAACTTAAGTTATGTAAAGATTAAAAAGAGTCCAACGTCATCTTCACAAGAAAGTTTTTTTTTTCTGTTAAATTCTGTAGTAAATCCACTATTGATTTGTTAATTCATTATAATTTACCCTTTACCCCCTAGGACAAATCAATAATCCTGGTCATGCTGAAGGATGAATAACAAAAGCCAGCAAATAATCTTATCATGTCAATGAAAAAATAAAATAAAAAACAATACCTACCCTTCCTGTTCATCATTTGCATCAATATCCACAGTTTTTGTTGTACTTTTCCTCTTCTTCCCTTTTCCCTTGACAGCACCCTCAACCTCTTTTCTTATCTGAGCCAGTCTAATTTGTTTGAAGTCTTCCTGTGTCAGGATACGAGCAGACGACACTTCTTGAGCACGTTTTAACTTTTCTTCTGGATTCAGTTGTTCTGTTTCAGCATCCTGAAATAAGTGCACAGAAATTATAAAAAAGTAGTTTTTTCCCTTACCTGAACATCTGTCAACATTTACAGCATTTGATAAATTTACATTATTTTACACTAGACAAAATATCTGGTGGTAAAAAACATCTTTTTGCAGCTATTGTTTTACACAAATTCATTTCAACAGTTAAGAGAGGAAAGACGGAAAGTCATACTTGAGCCTCCTCATCTGAAGAATGATGGATATCCACCCACTCTCCACTGCCATCACTGTCATCATCACTGCAATCTTCCCAGTCTTCTGGAACATTTCAATATATAAAACATTATATCTTTCCTGTTCAAAAAAATATCTGTTTATAATTTTGACAGTCAACATTTTAAACAATAAATAAACAAAAATATGCAAGTATAATTTTGATTTAGAAAAGAAGGCTTATCAGTTAACAACATCCTATAAAGTACAGGCTTTAAAATGCATGAGTCACATTTAGTTGTCTTAGATGTGACATAGTTGCAATATGAGCAACACTTTTTGTCAGATGTATGAAATCAAAGAAATGTTTTAAGATTTACTTTTGAAAAGAAAGTTGTATGATACTGGTTTAGAAAAAAGAGTTATCAGTTAACTACATCCTATAAGATACTGGAGTTTAATGCAAGTGCAATATTATGTTGCTTTAGATGGTTTTAACATGAGTAATACTTTTTTTTTCATAAAAAATGGCACTTATGTCACAAAATTTAATGCAAAAAATATGTAAGAAAATCAATAACTTCTGTATAAATTATCCACTCATACTCATTTTTGAAAGAAAAAGTTTTTTAACCAAATAGCGTTTCTTAGTAACTTTTAAGCAAAACAAAAATACAGTTTCAATTGGCAGTTATACTGATATTCTTAATCTCTTACCCTGTTCTATCTCTTCTTTCTGGTCTGGCTCAGGTTTAATAACTTCAGCACCAGGAATATAGTCCTTGGCATCTAGCTCCCCATACTGCCTCACATGTAAGTCCACAGAGGCCTCGGTGGGCTTGCCCTGCAAAATTAGCAAACAGTGATGAGAACTCACTTAGTAACTCAGCTAACATCTGAAAGATTTGTTACAAACAAAGGTACTAATTTACACTACATCACTGACAAAAATTACATTTAGTAAATGAATAAATAAAATACTATTTATTGAAAATAAAGTAATTAACGAGATATAAGGTAAATCCAAAGTTGTCATATTAAAATAATGAGTGTAGCTAAATTCTATAAATGAAAGAATGCTGCATTTTCATACTCTATCTTTCTTGTGTAAAAGTCCTGGATTGATTTGTCTGAAAAGCTGAACTAAGGAGCGTGCAGCCATCATGACACCTGGAAATAATGTTAAAATCCAGATTAAAACATTAAATAAATGAAAGAAAAATGCTGTTTTGCCAATCATGAAGTAAAGGGTGTTAATATATTCTTCCAAAAATCTCAACTAACTCAAAATGAAATAATTATATACGAAAACAAATCCAATTTTTTCATAAATTATTTTTTTCAGTTACAAATCACACATTATCATTAAATATTTCATCTTTAGGTAGGTATGTAAACTTTCACTCCTTTAACATTTCACACATGATAACTATGTCAAGAGCATCAGTTCTTACTTTTATCCTTGTGTGTTTTATACTGTACAAGGTCTTGGAGCAGGGTGTCTGTCATGGAGAGCGGACACCTGCTACAGACTTCTCTAACTGCATTTAAACTGAAAATATAATATATTTACATAAATACATATACAAAAATTTTCCTGATGTATTTTTATTATCCTGATGTATTTTCCTTATGTATTTTGTACACTTTGCTGAAATAAATATTATAAAGAATTTGAGTAAAAAATATTCAGTTTACTCAGAATACATTAGGCAAATAGAATGCCTTGTACAATCTGCCAACTAAACTGTGTTAACACCTACCCTACTGCCATTACTTCTCCTGAATTCCTGTCGCTAATGAAGTTATTGGCTATGGTCATGAGAACAGGCTCTATAATTTCTGGTGGCACAGTGTCATGGCTGGCCTGAGCAGCAAACAGTAAAATCTTGGTCACCTCTGGAAATAGTAAATAAAAAAAACTGTAATGGGAATGCAAAGACAACTAGTTTTATTTACCTAAATACGAGAAAACTTTTGAGGTCAATGTTAGCTTCTTAGCCCACTCTCTACTATTGTTTAGTTTTTTATCACCCATGCAAATTTACTATCATAACTGTAACCCTGCATAAGTGTGAGTTTCATAAATATCAAACTGACAAAGTTCATTTCATCAGTTAATAGAGAAAAGACAGAAAGTCAAACTGGAGCCTCCTCATCTGAAGAATGATGGGTATCCATCCACTCTCCACAATCTATTTATTTAAATACATTTGTTTTGATTACATTAAAGGCATTTCTCTTGTCTTGATGACATGCACTTGTACTGACAAAATGACTTACCTCTTTGATGTGGCTGTAGAAATCTCTGTATAAAAGGATAGAAATTAAACAGGAATAGCTGAAAAGAAAAAACTTCAAACATAAATACATTTTGTTTAATTATCTAATAGTTTATAAAGTCCAAATGCATTCAGACCAAGGAATTGTAAAAAAAAGATGTAATAGGAAAAATATGTATCTTTTTTTGTTTGTCTTTTCGATAAATGTTAGTACCTATTAGCTCTCAGTTCAAAACATTTCCTTTGGAAACATGTATTTTTAGACTGTTATTTTCTTTTCATGCTTTATTAAGTGGACTGAATGGTTAAACATATGCCTTAATATATTATTTTCAATGTTATAAAAAGAAATAAGATGCCTTTTGGATACGATTCTATGCCATCAACATAGAAAATAGGGAGGTAAGTGATGAAAAAGCCTAACAAAGTTTTGTACATAGCATCAAGTCTAAACATTCTGAGCAGAATGCAGTCAAAATACTCTTACCTTTGGATTTAATAACAAACTCACCTGATGAATTCCTACCAGCCGAGAGATAAGATTGATAAGCATCAGTTTCACTTCAAACCTTTCTGTAGTACCTTCCAAATCCTTGAACAGTTTTTCAGCAAAGCCTAACAATAAAAAACTTTGTACTTTTAAAATGTGTCATCTGTCCATACCACTTGCATCAGTGTCATAAATTTTCACCTTTTCACAATTAATTGACCAAGATTTTAACTTCAAGAGTACCATATCATGACCTCATACATTCATAACTTAACTGAAAAAGTGTCTAAACAGGTTTAATTACAAAAGGGAATATTTCAAAAATAATTTCAGAGAGACCTGCCTTACCCTGAGGGTCATGTATTAAATGGAGAGCTGCATTGTTGAATGATGATGGTTTCTTCTTCTTTTTATGTTTCTACAAAAAATAGTACACACAAACATTTAACTGAAAGCTATTTCAAGTGAAAATATCAAAAAGGTAAGAAAAACTTGTAGTTATATTGCGTGTTAATAATAATCTTTCTAAATAATTCATTTGGGGCATCTTATTTTTATTATGTAGAAAAGCTACAAATGCAGTCAACATTCAGGAGCTACTAGTTCCCCTTAAATTAGTACACTTTGTCCACTCATAAGCCTATTTACCTTAATGACACTAAGGGCCTTCTGCATTTTCTTGGCTCTTTTCTTTGTTTTCTTGCCTACCCTATGTCCCAGCATCACTTCCTTAGCTGTCTTCCTGTCAGGCTGCTCATAAAACAATGATCAGTGACATTACAAGAAAGCTACCATAAAAAAGATAATTTTTGCAAACTAATAACAGAAAGGATAATTCACAAATCAAAAAAATTATCAAAATTATTAAAAATGTTGAATGAGAGTCAAATTGTGGAAGCATCTGTATAACATGCTGTTTTGACATTCTTGTGATTGTATCCACAGATTTGTTATCCATGAAACAGGTTTAACCTTGTCTGCAGTTTCTCAAAAAAGAAAAAAAAAATGAAAGAAATATAATGATTGTTAACTTATCTAATAACTTTCACAAACAATTTTTCTTACAAACCTCAAAGAAATCTCACCTCTGAGTCACTGTCACTGTCATCGTCTGCTTTGTCTTCATCTTTACCAAGGAAAAATGTTAGAGCTGCAACCTTGATCTGAAAACAAAGCAAAAACAAAAAATTATAACAGAAGGTAAAAGCCACTTTTTTACTTGAGCTACATGAAAAATTCAAATTAATCACTCCTGTACATTTAAATAATCTTAACACAACCTTTTTTTTGTTTATGAGCACTGAACATTCCTTCACCTTGGTAACCTTTGAAAGACAAGCTGTTGTGATCACATTCACAGTTTTGGCATCATTCCAAATATTTCTTCTGTAGAGTTCCATCATGACATCCTGAAACAGACAAGAAAATGAATAACCCAAACATATATCAAACATATATTATAAATCGAACATTAACAACTTGGGCATTTCACCATAAAATTTGTTTTATTAATGTCTGTGCAATATCTTCACTTTTACAGAAGTTTTTTTTAACAAGTTTCTTTTCCTAACCTTTTGCTACTCTGTTATGGCAAAATTCAAAATGAGTCAGGAATGATTTATTGTTACATGATAATATTTAAAACATAAAATTCATGTATATGCTTTAAAATACTAGGTGACAACAGCAGCAACAGCTTTTTGTTTTAAAAAATGACCCTTTCTCAAACTGTGCATTTCACTAATTAGAAATTTATGCTTTGAGAGACTGGCAATTTCATAACTGGCTATAATTAAGGTAAGAGAATAAACTTCATGGAACCCCCACGCTTGGCCAATTACTGACTTATTTTGATTGCTCTATACAGTTAAAAGCAAACTTGTGAAAGGGAGCAAAAATTTGCATAATTATATGTTAGGATCAGTATAAGTGATTAGAAACAAATAAATGTGATGCATGATATGACCATAGGTGACTCACCAATGACATTTTGGCTGCAATGGCATTACTATCCCTCAACATGGTATACATGAAATTCTGCAAAGTCTGAAATAAATCAGAAGTTAAACAGTCAACATTGTTCAGAAGAGGTACAAATAAAAATTCTGACTGAACCAATACTTGTCATCTAATGAAAGAAAAGAGTGAAATGTTACATATTTCACATTAAAGGACTCCATTCACATAGTGCAGTACATACACCCACACTCATATTTCATTTTTAAAAATATGTTCAAAGACTAATTATAACACACATAATGTTCTAAATGCAATGTTTTCCTGGGAACTAAAATCTCTTATGTTTAGACAGCACAAATGGGGTTCCAGGGAGCTATTTCATGAAAGAATATCATTCTTTTTCCTACTCAGTACCACACGGACCTGGAAATGGCCCCTATATAAACATATTTACTTGTGGTTCAAAATGAACCTTAAAATCCAAAAGTGAATGGAAACATGTTTTGTTTTGCAAACAAGTTACATGTACAACCAATTACTTACTGTGTTGACTTTTGAATTCTTGTGTTTGGCATTGACCATCTTGATATCCTGTACTATGTAGTTATACAGGGTCTTCCTCAGCAGCTTGTCCTGACATCTGAACAGTTCAAAGAACAGCTCCAGGACAGTGATGGGAGGCAGCAAGCCTTTGTTCCTAAGAGCAATAAGGGCCTTGCAAAAAGTCTGTAATGTTAAAGGGAGACACATTTAATATTTTTTAGCAAGGGGGTAAAGATATGGGTGTACTGGTAACTGTGAATATCTGAATTCAAGCTGTTGAATGTGCGGCAGTTTAGATTGAGTGATGGTACCTAACGATTAGAGAAAATTTGTTTAATATACCTTTTACATCAAATCCAATTATAGTAGTGACTGACAGCAATCAACCATATGATGTTAGCCACTGGTCAGTGACAGCAGACCAGTAGATTTGGTGTTGTACTGTTGTGGGAAATTCAGATGCAGTTTTAGATTATGAAAAATTTTCCATTATCTGCAGACTCTTTCTTGGTACTAGTAAATTTTGGTTCTGACTAGTAGTTGTCTAATGTTTATAAGTCCATCTGAGAAATAGGCTGAATAACCTAAGACAAAGACTTATCACATCTCTCTAGAACACCAGTCCCTTACCATTCTGAGTGCAGGGTCAAGTACAGTGGCATTCCTGTGAAGCTGTTCCCTCAGCTGCTGGGGAAAGTTTGCCAGTTCATCTGGGTAACAGTGGGCCACCTTCAACAAAAACAGTAAAAACAAGAATGATACAAATTCGGACACTCAAAAAACATAATAAACTAAGGGATTTCTGAGCATCCATTACAAAGTGAAGTCTTGTTCAGCAAGGTATTTGCTGAAGAGAAAAAGACTTCAGTTTGGGACAGATGGAACCTCTATGAGGTCCCTACAGGATGTAAACAAGGGTCTGTATGTACTCGGGGGGATTGTCCATAGCCCGACAGTGATTACTCATTAAAATTTCTATCTTACAATTATTTAATTGATACTTAGCCAAACAAAATATTACATATAAATAAATAAATATTATATAAATAAATATTATATATATATATATATATATATATATATACACACGTAACTTAAAATAACACATATCTCATCTTCACTATACCTGTGCTACAAACATGACTAGCTCTGCAAGTGTCTGTGAATATGATGATGGTTTAAGAGCAAATATCTCCATATTGGACAGAAAATGGCGATACTGCTGAAGAAACTGGAAAACAAGTGAACAGAAATGAAACATTTTTGCTTTATTCTTTACCAGATGATTATCAGTTGACATCAAATTTCACTACTAAAAGTTTTATTTGTGTGAGCACAAAGAGGACACTAGGAGATCAAATAATTAGCCTCTTCTCTAGCATGCATGCACTCCTGCTTTGGTGTAGAATTCATACCTATCCGAGAGTCTGAAAGATATGGCTTAAAAATTGTAACCTCAACCTGAGCAAGTACAACTACTGTGGTGTTCAACACACTACATCAAGTTATTCAGGAGTCTATCAGCTCTTTCAAAAAAACTTTTACAAAGTCAATTTCAGTAATGAGTACAGTAGTTTGATAACAAGTATGTTTTTCTGTTTATATTTTTTCTATTTTCTGATTTTCTTTTTATAAAAATGAAATAAGTAATTCTATGTCAGTTTCAAACAAGTATTTCTTCTTGTAACATAACGACAAAAGCCTCAGCACTACTATTGGTATTACTACAAACTTCTACTACACATATGAATGAAAAGTACATGTAGTACTGGTAGTATGATATTGCCACATATTCCCCCATACGTACCTCATCCTTATACGAATCTGGATCTCGTTTTATCAAATTCTGTAACTGAGGTAAGTTACTCGGAAGTTTGTTGTTGTTTCTCTCTGTCATAGCTGATTATCTAGGTGTCAAATTACAAGTTGTTTATCTGTTACTATATAACTCATTCAACATTAGTTTTTCTCGCTTTACACATGCTGCCGGATACTAAAAATGCGCATGCGCTAGATTTAGCAAGACTTCCGCTTACAAAGGGGGGGGGGGCGGCGGCGAGAAAAATGTAGTGTGGAATTTACAGCACAAATAAAATCCGAGTTTGAAAAAAAATCACCTGTGCATATGTTAGAACATTTTTAAAAATTTTATGCCCTACAGTGTCGTAAAAGGAAAGGTGCTCATATATAACGTGTTCTTCAATTTTTTTCTTTTTTTCCCAAAAACGCTCATAATTAAGAGGATCAGTCCAAAACTAGGCAGCCAGGCTACATGAAAAGTGAAACACAAATACGCTAAAAGTTAAACGTCTTCAAAGCACTTAAATTTCACTGCCGCTGCCATCTAAATTAGTTTTATTTAATTGTGCTTTAAAAAGCAATTTAAAAAGCTGTCAAGAACAATTAAACCACGGTATACACCTGTACATGTGTTTCGGTGCTACTTCAACCTCTCTAGCAGTAACATCATAATTATACTACAAATCCCAAATTTCATCATTTGCTCCTAGAACATTTTTTACTTTTTAGAGGANAAAAAAAAAAAAAAAAAAAAAAACACTTCAACTTCCATAAAGTCCTCAAACCCAATAAAATCATAAAAAATATTCAGCAGATAACCTACTTTTTGTAAGTTATCAGGGTAGGGATATACTGGGTATGACCCCCCTGGGCTCCCTTAATTTAATTCAATATTTTGAACATGCCAGTGTTGCAGTTATCATTAAATATTAGAACTAGCACACCTAGGTCATGTCATAGGTCACTGTTAAACTTTGGGTGTTAGACTGCGAGAACACTGTTAAACTTGGGGTCTCAAGTATAACAAACTGACAATATAGTCTTAACATGTTGCCTGTCTGTGTATAAGCAGCTGTGCTCAAGTACTAGTATAGCAATGCAATGCTCTAGATCAAACGGCCAACCATTAGGGTATCGTTTGAAAACTCATGTTTTTACAAGTAGCTAGAGCAACATTACCTATACAAATTCAAAAAAAAAAATGTTTACAAGAAAAACCAGAGTCATGTACATTGTAGCATGGGTTCCTTTATTACAAATATAATGTAAATCGAGGGATGAAAATGTAACAGTTTACCATTAGAGTCTAATAAACTAATATTGATTAATACATTTTAACAATTTTAAAACATACTACAAAATATTAAATCAAAAAGCTAAAGCCAGTTATCACAAATTTTATAAAGTTATCTCAAAATCACAATACCCCTGGAATCTTTCATTTTCCATCCTATAGTATTGGTATACTATACATGTAGTAGACAGTGACACTGACACACTTTCAGAAAGCATAAAAATAAAAATGAAAAAGAAAACCTACACATCTAACTGCAAAAATAAGTATATTCCAAGTAAATATTTCCATCCAATATGTTAATTGATACCTTTGCAAGTGAAAAGTTCATGTCTGAAATTCAATACTGTTATATTCCGTCAGTCACACACGAAAGGAATATTTGTCCTACTTACTCCATCTTGCACATAATAAGCAACTTCAATTCTATAGCAAAGGGTTACCAGAACACAAAGCTTTTGAAATATGTCATATTATGCACTACAATCCTTGTATATAAAAAATAGTTTGCCAAGCTCTATATTTTCACAGACGGTTTCATCAAGTTGTTCCCCATCTACATGAATAGAAGTATGATTTAACAACTAACAATAAAGATTAATATTGACTCTGTGAATAAAATTAGACAAAGTACACAATCAAATCATTTTTAATGAAGAACAAGCATTTACCCTTTATTGCTTAAAACATTCCAAGATAAAGAAGTGACCCATATCTGACTCTGCATCTCAAAGTTAATCCTCTAATACATATCGCCCATTTGCAGAGCTTGATGGTAAACATTGTAGTCCACTAATGGCCTGCATCTCACCTATATTTTTATGCTTACATCTCATGGGATTTGACCTACCCTTTACTACCTTGTATACATTATGGCAACTTAGGTATGTGTACAGTAAGATTTAGGTCACCAGTGGTAAGGGCGGGAACAACCCTTTAGGATCCAGGGGTCCTAGGGGAGAACAAAGGGATGACTGCTGGTTTTTGATATTGCAAGTAAAAAATTTTAATTAAATATTGCAATAAAATACTATTCAGACTATGCATTTTCCAGCAAAACCTAAAAACTAAAAATGTCAAATTGATATCTTCATTCAGCCTTTTTTCTCTGGCATCACAACAGGAAAACAACATACACTGTATATTATCCACATAGTACCAGTAACTAATGGGTAACATAATGTCTAAAGCATCTGCAATGTTTTGTTAATAAAGCTTCAGCATACATAAAGAACATAACAATGAGGACCATGGGAGATGGCTCAAAGTCTTACACCTTAGCATAAAATCCAACGAGATTTGGCAGGAATGGGAAGAGAGCAAGATCAGAAATAATCAATGGCAGACAAGTAAATGCAGAGTGACAATGAATTTAAGCCAACAGATTTTATCCATGGATGTTTTCCCAAAATTAAATTACAGTCTATTGCACATCAGCACAAATTTATCTTTTGTACTAATGTCTAATTAAGAAGACATTCCTAGTGCATTGCTAATTAAAAAGTAAGCCCTTTCTCATGTGGATTCTCAAGTCTCGTCACAAAGTGCCGAAAGTCTGGATGATCTCCATTAAAAAGAAGTTAGACATGTTTTTCACAAAACATGGAATTGTAGACTGCAGATAAGACCACGCCCCCTGTCATCCCAAACACAAACCCTGTTGCCCCTGATGCACCCATCTGTAATGCAACAAGGTACCCTGCAGTCGCACCCAGGGCACTTGCGCGATCCACACGCACTTGGTTGCGGTTGTAACGAAGGCGGTAACATCTGTCATATATTCCTTCCTCGTCCCAATTCATGCTGTTGCATTTCATGAAAGTCATAGCAGGGCCCAGGACGAGTCCAATTATTGCTCCATTTCTACCATGGCGAGCAGCAGTCTCCATGATAGCGTTCAGGGTACGTGGACCACGGAAGGCCTGTGTGAGAGGTCCTGTGAGAAGAGTGCCAAGAAAAGCACCTGCCTGGACTGTTTTGATGGTGACATGGCCAAAAAGTTCCATATTTGCATGAGGTATTTCCCGCATCTGCTCATCTGTCAACTTTTGGCCCATCATGTTGCGACTCCAGTAGAAACCTCCAGGCATGGTGGATGTAGTTAAATTTTACTTCAGAGAAAAATGTAATATTGCTGAAAAATAAAAATAATAAACAACACTTAGAATGTCACAATTTTTTAAAAGCTACTGAGTACTAGTATATGCACTGTACTTACAGGTCTAGCTATTTGTATCCAGTACATAATATGCTAAAGGCAATATTATGAAGTATGTGTTGGATTAAGTTGTATAATGGTCAATTCTTGATACGTCTATTACTTTATAGGTAGATTATGTGCTTATCTTTCCATGAATATCATCAAATCTGTCTTTGACAAGACCAACATCTCGAGTCGTAAAGAATTCACACTTAGCATTCCAAATTCAATTTCAAATCGTGTTGTCAAAGTGACGCCTTTTCTTAGGCTGCAAGAAGATTTTAGAATTGCACTTACTATATGATTGGTAGGTTCAGTTGATGCAATCTTTAAAAAGAATGACGCGAGATCAACATATCCAAGTAACATGCCTACGAATGTGGATAGAGAGCAAATAACCAAACATTGCACCACAGTCAAAACGACTGCAAAGTCAGATACTCAGTGTTCAAACTATATTTTCTGCACCTCCATTTAACACTACCCTTTCTGATTCTAAGTCAAGCAATGCCAACTAAAACTCACCTTCCAAATGCAGCAAAACCGTACAACCTCTGAACGCTTGTTAAGCCGGAAAGAGACCTCGTCAATGTTTACACTGACTTAGTTCAGTTCGAGGTTTTGACCTTATTCCCTGACAAACCCTAAAAACAAGGTTAGGACAGAGGTCGCCTGAGGACACCGTCCCAATTTATCACTGATTATAGTTACTGGGCAAAGACACAACTGAGGATTAAAGGTCAATCAGAAAATATTTATTTACCTTATATAAAGGAATGAAAATGACGACTGCTTTCAGTTTTAAAAGTAATAAATAAAAATTACCGCTACATGTAGGCCCACTACCGGTACTATAGTAACGTACCCAGGGGTGGGTCCAGGATTATTCGGGGGGGGG